TTCATTTTTAATTTTTTTAAACTTTTTATTCTTATGTTAATCACCCTACATTACATCATTAGTTCTTGATGTAGTGTTCCATGATTCATTGTTTTTGCATAACACCCAGTGCTCCATGCAGAACGTGCCCTCCTCAATACCCATCACCAAGCTAACCCATCCCCCCACCCCCCTCAAATAAATAAAAATCTTAAAAATAAATAAATGAAAAATCTTGGAGGCTAATAAATGGCAAGCTGGAGATCTGGAAGTGTGTCTTGGGAGGAATAAATTACAGATGGTCCCTGACTTACGTCAGTTTGACTAAGAATTTTTCGATTTTACAATGATGCCGAAAGCAATACACATTCAGCAGAAACTGTACTTTAAATTTTGAATTTTGATCATTTGCCAGGCTAGTAGAGATATGCATGCAGCAGGATGCCCTCTTGTGATGCTGGTCAGTGGGAGCAAGCTGCAGCTCCCAGTCAGCCACAGGATCATGATGAGGGTAAACAACCCATACACTTACAACCACTCTGTACTCAGACAGCCATTCCGTTTTTCACTTTCAGTACAGTATTCAATAAATTACAGGAGATAATCAACATTCACAACATTCACAAAATAGGCCTTGTGTTAGATGGTTTTGCTCAACTGCAGGCCAATGTCCGTGTTCTGAGCATGTTTAAGGTAGGCTAGGCTAAACTATTACGTTCAGTAGGTGTTAGTGTATTAAATGATTTACAATATTTTTAACTTATGATATTTTCAAATTACTATGGTTTTATCACGACACACCGCCATTGTAAGTGGAGGAAGATCTGTATAAGCAATTAGGTATTGGTGAATCACAAATTGAGAGAGTGAAAATGCTGAAATAGTTGGAGAGAGAAGTAGGAGGGGACTGAATTTGGCTGGGGCTTGTACACTAGATCAAGAAGCTTGGCCTTTATTAGGAGGGTACATGGAAGCCACATTGGATTTTAATCGGGGGAATGACTCCAGTCTCTGGGAGTGATCTGTACTTGGAGAGATCTCCTTACTCCTGTGTATTGGAGAGAACAGCACCGCAACTAAGACTCGTCGGAAAGACGATGAAAACCTGAATAACCATAATGATAATTTTAATCGCAGTAGATATGAATTAAACCAGACACTAAATCCATTACCTACGTAATCTCGTTTACCCCCCAGTTACCCAACCCAGCTGACACTAGTGTTAACATCTCCATTTTACAGGTAAGGTAAACAAGGTTGAGAGGATAAGGAACCTGCTCAAGATTACTCAGTACCCAGATCTGTCCGACTAGATAGAGCGCCTCTCTTCACTCCCTTGGACTAGGCATTGGAAGTGGGAAGGAAAAGGAGAAGACAGATGTGCAAAATAATTAGGAGGCAAATAATTATTATATTAGCGTTAGATGACAGTGACGATGATGGTAAAGAAGGTAAAGACGATTTCATTCCTTGGTTACACATTCGAGACCTTAACGCGAGCTTCCGCATCTGGGAAGAGACCAAGTTGATTAAGGTGCCGCTGAGACATAGTCCCTCTATCACGACAGAAAACGTACACAACTGCAGAGACAACGCCACGCCCCATCCGCCGCCCCCAGTTCACCGCAGTCGCCAGAGCCGCCCAGGCTCTCGGGGCCGCGCCGCCCCGCCCCGGGCGCCTTCGCGCCCACGTGGTCCGGCGTCTGCGCGCAGGCTCGCGGCGCCGGCGCTTCCGGGTTGGCGGCAGCGGCGGTCGCGGGGGCGCAGGGGCCCCAGCCGGGGCGGCGCAGGAACCCCGCCGGCGGCTTGTGCGGATCCCGGCGCAAGGGCGGGCCCGGCGCCAGTGCGCCCGCCAGGCCGCGGCGTGGGCCGGGCGCCCCGAGAGGTAGGTCCGCTCCGGGCCCGCCAACGGTGGGCGCGGGACCTGCGGCCGCGTCGAGCGCTGCCCAGCCATACGCTCCCCTGTCCCGCTCGAGGGGGCCCGGACCGGGAGTGGGGGCCCAGCCATGCGGGCCCCGGTCTCCGGTGGAATCGTCCGCCCGCCATGTCGTGCGCTGCCTGGCGGCCAGCCTGGGCGATCGTGCCACCCCTTCCAAAGCGAGGCCCGATGCGCCATCGGTTATTACTCAGTTGCAGCTACCCCCAGATTCATTTCGCTCGTGTACATTTTCTTTGCCCCCTTTTTTACGTTTTCACAGACAAAATGGTTAATGCGTGAAATCGAGACGCTGTAGGTCCCATTCTGGTCTGCGTGCAACTGTGGAAAGTTAGTGCCGGGGAAGGACTTTCCGGATGCTTGATTCCCATTCCTTCATTTTACAGAGGAGAAGGCAGACCCCGAGAAGTAACATGGATGTTGGAAATTCACCCAGCTAGGCCATGGTATATAATAAGGGTGAGAGAATGGCAAACTAAGTTTTTAAGTTGACTTCTGAAAGTGGTCAATGGTCAACTTCAGTTAACAGTATGAAGCGAGTAGTAGGTTCACTTGGGCTAGATTTAACCTGTTAGATGATGCTTCCTCCTTTTTAATCATTATTTTCTAATTTCAGGCTTCATGCTTCTTGGCCTCTAAAGAAAATGGCAGAAACGTCATCGGAGCCTTCTGGGCAGCTCGTTGTACACTCAGACACTCACAGTGACACTGTTCTGGCCAGTTTTGAGGCTCAGCGGAAGAAGGGCTTCCTCTGTGACATTACATTAATCGTAGAGAATGTGCATTTCCGGGCTCACAAAGCCTTACTCGCTGCCAGTAGTGAATACTTCTCAATGATGTTTGCTGAAGAGGCGGAGATCGGCCAGTCCATTTATATGCTGGAAGGCATGGTTGCCGACACATTTGGAATCCTGCTGGAGTTTATCTACACCGGTTGTCTCCAGGCCAGCGAGAAAAGCGCAGAACAAATCCTGGCCACCGCTCAGTTCTTAAAGGTCTATGACCTGGTAAAGGCTTACACGGATTTTCAAAATAATCATAGCTGCCGAAAGCCAACAACTCTGAACACTGCTGGCGCTCCAGTGGTGGTGATTTCTAATAAGAAAAATGGTCCTCCGAAACGGAAGAGGGGAAGACCGAGAAAAGTGAACAGTGTGCAGGAGGGGAAATCACAGCTGGCTGCAGAGGAAGAAATACAGCTGAGAGTAAACAATTCAGTTCAAAATAGACATAACTTTGTAGTGAAAGGGGGAGACAATGGCATACTGAATGAACAGATTCCAGCGAAAGAAATGGAAGAGGCTGAGCCTGCCTGTGAGCCACGTAGAGGGGAGGAAACGCCAGCTGAAAAAGATGAGAACTGTGATCCCAAGACCCAGGATGGGCAGGACAGCCAGAGTCGGTACAGCAAGCGCAGGATTCGGAGGTCCGTCAAACTTAAAGATTACAAACTTGTCGGGGATGAAGACGAGCAGAGTTCAGCCAAAAGGGTCTGTGGAAAGAGAAAGCGCCCGGGGGGCCCTGAGGCCTGTTGTAAGGACTGTGGCAAAGTGTTTAAGTACAATCACTTTTTGGCAATCCACCAGAGGAGCCACACGGGTAATTATACTTTCGCAGCTTAGTGGAGCTTGTTTTGGCGGGATGATGATGATAGCTTTCATTGATTGTGCAACTTCCATGTGATGGGCATTATAATAGGGCCTTTACGTACATATTACTGCAGTTAGTTCTTACAACAGGCCTGTGAGATCGAGAATGTTATCCCCATTGGACAGATGAAAAGACCAAGTCCTAGAAATAATTTGCCCAGGTCATCCATTTAGTGACAGAGCTGGGATTTGAACCCAGGTAGCCTGATTGCAGAACCCTGTTCTTATTTGTGAGTCGTTGGTTCCAGGCTTGAATGCCCGGGTGTCAAACTCCAGCCAGATTTACTCTGCTTTCTGATTTGTGAACATGTGGTGTGACTGAGGAACTGAATTTTTTATTTTAATTAATTTAACTGGCACCATATTGGATAGTGCGGCCCTAGCCAGAAATCCCTTCCTCCTTTGAGCCCTCCCTTACTTAACTCACTCTGCTTTGGGTCGGGTTGTAGTTACCAGTTAAATACCCCTCAACCTAATTGTCAACTTAAGTATAGGGACTAGTAGTTAAGGCTCCTCTCATCCAGCAGAGCTAGCCCTGTGGTTCTCAACCTGACCACCCAGTAGAATCACGTAGCTTCTAAAACCACCAGTGACTGGGCACCAGCCCCAGAGCTCCTGATTTAATTGGGGCCTTGGTGTTTTTGAAAGATGGGTTCAGAACCTTGAATTCTGGTTCTTTAAACAAAGTAGACACTTGGGAAATATTTGTTGAACCGTAATAGAGGATAGTTGAGAGAGTTAAATAGTTCTCTAACATTTGTTAAAACAGCATGTAGGATGTTCCCTTTTGTCCCCAGGATTCTGAAATTTTGCAGTGACTCACTTTAGCGTGGGTCTGTTTTTGTCCCATTTCAGTGGCTACCCGTAGATCCATACAGTTTGGAAACTCCCATCTTTCAGTTCCTTCATGGATGGTATCTCCCATCAGTTTTCTGTGCTCTCTCTTTCTAGAACTCCCTGGAAATTGGATGTTGAACCTCTGGACCCACCCTCTAAAGTCCTTACCTCTTAATTCCCATCATTTTTGGCTCTGCATTCTGGGAGATTTCCCCTTTATCTTTCTACTCTGTTTTACTTCTAGGAGCCCTTTTTTATTCTCTAAATTTTTTGGTTTTTTTTTAATTCTTGTGAATCCTCTTTTTGGTTCACAGTGTAGTATCTTCCCTCTGTGAGCACGTTAATAACAGCAGTCGCCTGTTTGTCAGTTTTTAACGTTTTCTTCCCCCTGGGCAGCCTCTGTTTTCCGCGAGTTGCTTTTTTTCCTGATCTGTTTTGGTATCTGTTTCAGCAACTAAAAGACCTTCCTTGAATGGTGGTTTTTAAAAAGTCACATTTAATCCTATGCTGGAATGATTGACTGCTAGCTACTGGCCACCACGTGGGCGTGGAGCGGGCCTGTAGACGGCGGCCTCACTGGGGGTGGTGTGGCTGGACCCCACTCCCTCCCCGACACCTGGCATCCCAGCTGCAGCCCCCTTACCCTGGCCCACCACGTTCCCGAAGAAGATGGTCTGCCCTCCCACCCGAGGCTCTGGGCCTGCCTGCCAGTGTCTGAAGCAGGAGCCAGGGAGAGGGCTGGGCAGTCTCATCAGACCCAGTATAAACTCGGACTTGCCGTCCCTGGGGCAGGCCTACTCCACTGTGCCTGGAGACCCTCAGTCCAGAGACTGTTTGTTTTGCCCTCTTCAGAGAACGGCCCCCATCCTTTGTTGGGGAGTGGGCCTGTCTTCTGGCTCCTTGGGCCTTGTGGGGGGGCCTTAAGTGTCTTTGACCCAGATGGTCATTTGTCCCCCTAACCCCCACTTTCAGAGATAACAGGTGCCACCGATGGCTGAGCATTGTGGAGGCTCTGTCTTAGGTTGTAGCTCAGCACTCCTCGCTGCTGGCGTCGGATTCATGTGTCCTGGCTTGCCAGATTTTATTGCTGATGTTTTCTCTCCTGTGCTGGGCCTTTGGGATATTGTGCCTATTAAGAGAAATCCCTTGATTGTCGTTTTAATTTAGGAGGAAACCAAGATGTGCATGTTCTTGCTCACACCACGCTTCTGCGGCTCTCATTCCAGGGGAGCGACCTTTCAAATGTAATGAGTGCGGGAAAGGCTTTGCCCAGAAGCACTCCCTGCAGGTCCACGCCCGGATGCACACAGGCGAGCGGCCCTACACCTGCACCGTGTGCAGCAAGGCTCTCACCACCAAGCACTCGCTGCTGGAGCACATGAGCCTGCATTCAGGTAGCTGGACTTGCGCCCGAAGGCCACCTGCCACCGGGTTCCTGGGCTGGGCGTTCCCGTGGTCAGAATGGTCTTTTCTCAGCCTGGTGTCATCTCCCACGTGGTGTCTGCCTCTGCCAGACCATAGTGTGGAGTCGTGCACAGCGTTCTGTTTTAAACTAGGGCTTATGAACCAGCTACCGGGAGCCCAGCGTACACACGTTTTGTTTAACTCCCAGAGCTTAGAATTATTTTACTTTGGTGACTTTGGGGGAAACTTGAATTCTCCAGTTCTGCTCCAGTCCCCACCACTCCCTACTGCCTTACATACCTTTGCACATTTATGGTACTGTGCTTTGACTGAGGGCATTTGGGTATGGAGGCGAGTCACTTGTATCATTCATGGAAAATGGGGACCTGGGCCCACCGTTTTATTGTTCTTTGTTTTTGCATGTTTTAGTGTCTTGTTTTTTATTTGGCAGGACAGAAGTCTTTCACCTGTGATCAGTGTGGAAAATATTTCAGCCAGAAAAGACAACTAAAGAGCCATTACCGAGTTCATACAGGTACAATAAAGAGAGAAAATTTGGATTGGTGGGGGAGAAACTTAAATACAAATTACTTCTGAAACAGTAGGGTCATACTGTGTAAGATAATTAGTATTTAGGGAAAGAATCTTAAAAAGGGATCTAAATTAGATGTCCTTGTGTTATTCTCTACTACCTTGTGATTTATATTTAATTTTATATTACAGTTTTGGCGCCATACACAGAAACCCTACAGAACTGATATCTTTCAGAAGTGCCACTTGACTAAGAAGGTGCCTGATTGGTTATTAATGGTGCCTAGACCGAAATATCCCCACCCCATAGCTGTCAGTCCAGGCTTTCTCCCACCTAGCTTTTTCTCTCCTGCCAACTGATAAATAATTGAGTTGGGACTTGATGTCAGCTGGCCACAGTCACACCAATGCTTCCAGGGAAGAAGAAAATTACTTTTAGGGAGACTGGAAGGGTCCCGGCTCTCCTGGGGAAGCAGTGAGTTGAGATGCATAGGAAAATATTAACTGTTACCAAATTAATAAAAAAAACTGTTGTTTTAATTAAAGTACCATATTTAAAGTGATTATTTTTCAGGGAAGTGCTTTAACACAAATCACTGAAGAAATGCAGGGAGAGAGCGCATATAGGCACTGACACTTTTTTTATTGTTGCGACAAGGCCACGCATTACCGGAATGCAACCACTGCCGTCGCAAATTCATGGATGTGTCTCAGCTAAAGAAGCATCTACGAACACACACAGGTACAGCTCCCATCCTGCCCTTCCTTTCTGGTACACTTCACGTTCTCAGAAGAGCGAGAATGAGTCCCCTCATCAGGCTCCATTTGTTATAAATCGGGTGGGAATTTTAGAAGACCATTTAAAAGTCCAAGGCAGAAGGCTGTCGACACCATTCTGTGGGGAGATCCCGTCTCTATTTCTTAGCAACACAGAGATGGCTTACTGAGCACTATTCCCGGGTGAAAATTCATTTGAGGGGCCCCTGCCTGGCTCAGTTGCTTGAGTGACTGTTATTTTCAGCTCAGGTCTTGATCTCAGGGTTGTGAGTTCAAGCCCCGCGTTGGGCCCCATGCTGGCTGTGGAGCCTACTTAAAAAAAAAACAGAAAAAGAAAAGAAGAAAATTCATTTAATACCACAAAACAGTACAAGTCTGAGTCTGGTTCTATGTTTCACTCCTAGTGTACCTCAGTGCTGAAGATTACTGAGATACTTTTTTTTAAAAAGAAAGTAAAATGAAACAAACACACAGGTAGCATAAGCACTGAGGGTTTCCCACTTCCTCCCCTAGAACCAGTACTTACAACTTAAGCATTGCTACCTCCAGAAAAATCAGCTTCAGGGATAAAAAGGAGGCAGGATCGATCAGGGCAGGTCAACTTCTTTAATTTAAAAACAGCAAAGTAAAAGTGTGGGTCTTTTAGACCTTTTCGTAAGGAGCACTTCTTTAAAAATGAACCTGTTAGATTTTTCTAAGAAAAGCTTCCTCCTGCAGTTTGGTTCTTTAATGATTCTGTTAATTTGTCTACTAAAATTATATATCAGACTGGTTTATGCTGCTTTGGACATATTTTTTTAAACACAAATTTTTCTTCTTAAACGTAATTTGTTTTCTTAAAATAAGTGTCTCATAGGACAGGAGTTCTCTGAAGAGGAATCTCTGTACAGTCTTTCTACAGACATTACCATGAATAGGTTCTGTGACATTTAATTCATCCGTTTAACACATATTTACAGAACAGCTCCTGGGTCCCAGACACCGCTCTCCCTAGGTGCTGAGGCTGCAGCAGTGAATGAGGTGGCCAGAGCCCCTGCTGTGGACCAGGGAAGACAAGGAAAAATGACTCCATAGCATGTTAGGTGGGAGTCAGTGCTCTGAAGAACTAAACGCAGGGTAAGGGGGCAGGATGTGGGAAGGGGAGCTGCCCTTTTCCGTGGGGACTTGTCTGAGAAGGCCTCACAGATGGGGGGACACCTTAGAGATCTGAATGCTCTGGGGAGCGAGAACAGCCGTTGTGGCTGCTCAGGGGAAGAGCATCCCATGCAGAGGGAACAGCAGGTGCAAAGCCCTGAGACACAGAGTTTCCACCTTGCCAGAGAAATGCCAGGAGGCAGTTGTGACCGAGCCTGAGCCAGGGTGGTGGGCATCAGAAGAGCAGAGGCAACTGGTTGGAATCTGTAACATAGGCCTCTCAGCCGAGCTGCCGAGGCTCGGGCCTCAATCACCTGAGAAGCTTTAAAAAAGAAAATGCCTGGTCCCAACCCCAGAGATTCTGATTGAATTAACCTGGGGTAGAGCCTCGGAACTGCTCTGTGTAAAAATTTCCTCAGTGATCCTGGTGTGCACTCAGGCTTCAGAACGTTGGAGGCCACGGGGGAGACTGGATTTTTGTTCTGAGCGAGAAGACTTTATCGAGAGCAGTGAGATGATAGGACTTAGAATTTTAATAGGATCATCCCAGCGTCGTGTGGGGTGGGGGGAGCCACAGGTGGAGAGACCCATTAGGAGGCTGTTGCAGTAATCGGGGGCTCGTACAGTGTGGTGGCCGTGGAAGTGGTCACCAGTGGCCCTGTCCAGATAGATTCTGAAGGAGTCTGTGTTCTTGGAAAGAATGTCCATGATTTCAAACATTTCGCTAACAGAAAGACTTTCTGAGATTGTCAACCCAGATGGCATTGAATGGTAGGGCGAACATCGTTAGTATGTTTCCGAAACGGAACTCGACACGACAAGCAGGTCCTCAGTCTTTGGATCTGGAGGGGCAGCAAACACACTGAGGTCAGCGCGGGCCCCAGCTCTGGTTTGGGAGGCTGTGGAAGGAGAGCGCCAGTGGCCTGGTTTTCACCTCTGGAGTGGTAAGAGCTGCTGATGCAGAGACTCCCAACTCACCCAAGCTGCCACCAGCATCCTCCGCCTAGATGGAACCTGGAAAGATGTCTAGGGTGACTTTTCCAGGAGAGGCTATGAAAGGGAGGCCGCACTTCAAACTGCACCTGTCCCCAGCCGTTACCTAGTTAAGCGGGATTTCATTCTCTCTTTTCTTTAAATTCATAGCTCCCTTGCCTGCGTGAGGACCACTTAACTTTTGTTTCCAGAGGACATGACAGTCTATCGGTTGTATGTGCAGCGTACAGACTAATGCTGAATAAACGGTTCTTGAAGCTTCATGAATTCCTAGTGGAGTCTGGAACAGTGTGTGGGCCTTAGTTTCCACCCTGTGAAATTCATTCAGTCATCAGGGATTTCTGGAACAGTGTGCCAGGCCTGATTCCAGACACAGGGGTACTAGGATTAGACGAGCCCACAAAGTCTCCTAAGAATGGGGGAGATGAACAGTAAACAACACGTATAGTCTGTGAGGTGGGGCTAGCACTGTGGGGAGAAACGGACCCAGAGAAGGGGACTAAAGAGTGTTGGGGGGCGAGGGACGTGCTTTTGGTGGTGATCAGGCCTCCTTGCTGGGAAAGTGACATTTGAGCAGAGGCTTGAAGGCAGCACAGAGGGTGAACCGCCCTGGGAATCCCCCAGGCAAGACGTGCTGGGGGAGGGATGTTGGGTGCAGGAGCCCTGGCCAGGGCTTGCTCGGGGTAGGGTGTCCAGTGACTCTCCACAGGGCCCGTGAGCTGAGCAATGAGCAAAGGGAGAGTGCCTGGTGAGGTTAGAAAAGTTTAGGGCAAGGACCCGGGGTGGGGGCGGGCAGACAGATGTGTGATGCCTCTAGGCCTAGGGCTTTGGTTTTTATCTCCGGATGAGAACAGGGAGCCTTTGGAGTGTTTGCAGCGGAAGTGTGAAATGATCAGACAGCCTACAGGGTCACTGTGGTTGCTGCTTTTATTGTGGACAGCAGGGAAGCTGGAACAGAAATGGGGAGACCCGTTCGGCTGCTGCAGGGACAGTGGCGGCCTGGACTGGGGGGTGGCAGCGAAGGTGGTGAGATGTGGTCGGGTTCTGGATACACTGCAAGGCAGACATAAATGTGAATAATATGCAGGTCACCCTAGTGCACCGGTGTCCCCAGGAAGGTCAGGTACGAGAGTTATCTCAGGGTGGACCGTACGGGAGTAAATGTGGTGTTCTTTTGTTTACTGTGTATAATCATCTACCTCCTTGTTTCAGTTTTTAAGGGAAGGAACCATATCTTACACTTTCTCTGTATCCTCTTGGCACTCAGCATACAGTGCTTAGGTACATAGTAGGTGTTTGGTAAGGGCTTCATTCATTCATGCTCATTAAGGAGTCAAGTGGTATTGCCTTTTTTTTTCTTAATACTGTGAAAATGTGGGGTGATTTTTGCTTTTCACTTTGTGTTGGATATATATTTCTAAACAGTGTCCCCTTTTTAGGTGAGAAGCCATTTACTTGTGAAATCTGTGGCAAATCTTTCACAGCAAAGAGTTCTCTTCAGACCCACATCAGAATCCATAGGTAAAGTTTTACAGATATTTTTCTTATTTGGGAGTCATTCAACCCTGGTGTTCAGTTGGGTGACATATGTTACTTATACAGGCCTTTTCCCCAAATTATTACACGGGTAATAATTTGTAGTGTAGTTTACTGTATTTTATCTTTACAATAAAGCAATTCCTAACTTGGGCAAAATCAGGAAATCTGGTTCTGGCCAGCAAAAGTTTGCATGACTGATTTCATTTCTTGAATTTTTATTTTGGGCTGGGGGCTGATCCAAAGTTTAAATCTTCAGTCAAAAATAAATATTAAATTCAATGTTTTCTGAATAAACGTTTTTGTTCACACATCCAGATTTGATTCAGTAGTTCTTCTAAGACAAAGAACTAAGGGTTACTCAAGTTGTTTTTGTTTTTTTGTTTTTTTTTTTTTTTTTTTGAGGGAGTGGGAGAGAGAGAGAGGGAGGGAGCTGGGGGTGGGGGGACCAGAGGGAGAGAGAACCTTAAGCAGGCTCCACACTCAGCATGGAGCCCCACACAGGGCTTGATCTCACAACTCTGAGATACACGACCTGAGCCAAAATCAAGAGTCAGAAGCTTAACTGACTGAGCCACCCAGGCGCCCCTACTCACGTTTTGAATCTTGAAGTCAATCACATATACTTAAATTTGGCCACAAGAATCTAAAAGTTGGCAGTGAAATTGAAAACAAAACAAAAAGGAACTTTATGTGTGTAATAGAGAAATATTTGCTCTCTTATCTAAAATAGACTGTAGAATCATAAAATGTTATTACGTGTAGCCCAGGCCCATGTACCACCCTTTCTCAGACAGCACCCCCGCCTCGTCTTTTTTCCTTTAGGATCAGAAATGGAAACCCCCGAAAGTCGTGACTTGCTCTGACTCCTTAAGCTAGCAGAAGAGCCCATGGCTTATGACTCCCAGTCGAGTTAATTGTCCTCTACTCTTGACTTCTCCCTAACTAACCAGGAAGTAATAAGCAGAGCCGTTTGTAAAGTCAAATGTGTATTTTTTGTAGAGGAGAGAAGCCCTACTCCTGTGGCATATGTGGCAAATCCTTCTCAGACTCCAGTGCCAAGAGGAGACACTGCATTCTGCACACGGGCAAAAAGCCCTTCTCCTGCCCCGAGTGCAACTTACAGTTCGCTCGCTTGGACAACCTGAAGGCCCACTTGAAAATCCACAGCAAAGAGAAGCCCGCGTCGGACGCCAGCGGCGTCTCCGGCAGCCCTGACACCCAGGAGGTCAGGAGTATTCTTCAGCTGCAGCCGTACCAGCTCTCTGCCTCTGGAGAGCAGGAAATTCAGCTTCTCGTCACCAATTCTGTACATAACATCAACTTCATGCCCGGCCCCAGCCAAGGAATCAGCATCGTCACTGCGGCGAGTTCTCAGAACATGGCGGCCGAGCAGGCTGCCGACCTCGCCCTGCTCACGCAGCAGCCCCAGCAGCTGCAGAACTTCATCCTTTCCGCCCCTCAGGGGCAGACGGAGCACATTCAGGGCCTCGACATGATTGAAAGCCAGATGGAGCCCGCACAGACCGAGCCGGTGCACGTCATCACGCTTTCCAAGGAAACCCTGGAACACCTTCACGCCCAGCAGGAGCAAACCGGGGAGCTCCAGTTAGCAGGTGCTTCAGATCCGGCTCGACACCTGCAGCTGCCGCCCGCGCCCGCCCCGCCCGCCCCCCACGGGCCCCCGCCCGCCCCGCTGAGCCCCGGGCAGAGCTGACGTGGACGCGCCTTGCGTCCTTGATCTCCCCACGAGCCAGCTGTGCGCTGCGAGGCGGGCCTGCTGAGAGGCTCGGCTCGCCTACAGAGCCTTCTGGAGATGTGAGAGTGAGCGGACAGGCCTCGCGCTTTGCATCCGGGCCCCAGGATGTGCGCGTCCTGTCTTGGATGCAGTCCGGATCGGGATATAGCATTCAGTACTGATGAACCGTTTTCATTTTCCTCTACGACATCTCCGAAAGTCTTGGGTAATTTCGCTTTGGGGGCATTGAATTAGACTTACTCTCAGTCTTGACTGTGCACGGCCACAGGTCTTGCTGACCTTTCCAAAGTAAGAACTTTGTAGAACAAAGGAAGCCCTATATTGGTTGAGTGGGGTAGAATGGTTTGTTCCACTTTATTTTTCGTAGGCAACACAGTTGCTTCTACAAGATAAGTCACAGCTGAATGTGATAGAGGACAACCTTGGAGAATCTGTCCTTTTAATATCTTCTGAGCCCCGACGACCGAGTCACTGTCAACATTTAATCTCTGTGTGGTACAGTGGGCTCTTTGTATCCTATTTAAGGTAGATTCAAAAACATATAAACTAAAAGTCTATTTTAACTCGAATATAATAAAGTCCAAAAAGTACAGGATTATTTTAAAAATTCTGAACTCAGCTTTTCTGAGAAACATGGATTTACATATTTTTTTGGATTTACATATTTTTTTAAAAGCAGGTTACTGAAAATTTAAAAGTCTAATTTAAGTGTGAAATCGGATCAAGACATTCAGCCCATAAATTCTCAATTTTTGTCAGCATTGATACTTGTTTGATGAAGTTAAGACTATCTCAGTTATCCTGAAATATAAAATTTTATTAGGTGTAATTTAAGTGTCAAAGATACTGAATTCTAATTGATCCTGAAAATGGTCTGTGTATTGTGTCTGATAACTTCCTGGAGATGGGACCTTATTATACTATAGATTATAGTAGGTTAAGTCTCATAAAATAGACACCTCATTTTAAAAAGTAAATATCTTCACCTAATCTTAAAAATAACTTGAACTGCAGAGCCATAGTAACCTGTCTATAATAACGGTATGATTTTAAATAATTGTCAAAAGTTGAAATTATGTGTGGGTTAGGTTTTCAAGCCCGGTGTACTTTATTGAATACTTTGATTGCTTTCTCTTTAATGAACTGAAAAAAGAGCACGGGCACTAGTAGTACATCTAAGTTAACATAATGCGGGTGGAGAATAGGGCTAATCTACCCTAAAATTAACAGGGTCCTGACATCAGTTACTTTCTTGCTTTAGACACCTTAATTTCTACCTGAATCAAGGTTTTTTTGGAGGTTAAAGTAATAGAATTCTTCAGGTTTGAGAGAAGATGAAAGCATTTTTTTCACATATTTGCCAAATTATGTTTTGTTATAATTCACAAAATTTCTAAAATGTGTATCTTAATATGTATCAACAAAAGTAATGTTTAAATCAGGCCTGACTAGAGCCAAGATACAATTTTTATAAATACCGTTATGACCCAAATATTATTTCAGGTTTTTAGTCATTTAAACTATTTACTTTAACTTTATTAAAATGCAAAGTTTTTACCAGCTTTGCAAAGCTTACTGTCCTACGGTTTCTCCAGAAGATACACAGTATTAACGTAAATGAATTTTTAACTACTCACTCTGGACAGCTGGAGAATTATTCAGGAAATATGGTCACATAAGTCAAGTTTAACTAGCTTTATGACAGTTTACCTAACTGCACTAGGAGAAATAGAATGTGGGCCACATGTAATTTTAAATTTTCTAGTAGCCACATTAAAAACAAAAAGGTGAAATTAATTTGAATAAAATTTAATCCAACATTTCCCAAATACCATTTCAACATGTAAACAATATAAAAACATATTAATAAGATTTTATATTCTTCATATTAAGTCTTCAAAATCTGGTGTGTATTTTCCACTTAGTGCACATTCAATTTGGATGCTAATGTTCTTCGGACATACTTGATCTGTATTCAGAGTTCATACAGTTTAGAGTTGAAAGCCTAGATTCACATACAGTTGCAGACATAATTTTTTTTCAATAACTGAAGCAATTATTGGTTTAACTTTACATTAAAATTAAAACCTGGGGCACCTGGCCAGCTCAGTTCGAAGAGCCTGTGACTGTTGATCTCTGGGTCATGAGTTCAAGCTCCACGTTGGGCATAGAAATTACTAAAAAAAAAAAAAAAAAAAAAAAAATATATATATACTGAAAAACCCACCACCAGTTCCTCAGTCACACCAACCACATTGCGAGTTCTTGATAAGCCACATGTGTGGCTAGTGGCTTCTGTTGTGAACAGGCTCACCTGTTTCTAACTTGAGAGCCTGTCTCAGCCATAAAAGTATCTTCTGGAAGAGTTCTGGTTTGATCCGCTGTGAAAGGGAAAGGAAATGAGAGCTTTATAAATCTAGCCTCTCTTTGTCCCAAATACACATTCTACCCTCTGAAATCCCAAATTCTAAAGTTCAGTGCCTCTGTATCCAAAGGAAATGTCATGTACATAAAAATGTTTCTATTGTGTGAGAAATTGCCGGCTCAGTGTTTCACAACGTATTTTGTACTAAACTTGTACAGTTTTTTAAATTGTTTTGACAAATGCAGAAATACAAAGTGTACTTCATAGGAAATAGAATATTATGCTTACTGAAGTTACTGAAATGCACCTTATCACTTTCAAAAATGAATCTTTGGTTTTCTCTCAGTAGAGGGCTAGCCTTGGGAAAACTCGAGCTCCTGCCATCAAAATAAGTTATTTATTCATATGCTTGTATCTGCTGCTTTTTTTTTTTCCTTCAAGTACTTAGGCACCATACCCAACATGGGATTTAAACTCATGACCCTGAGGTTGAGAGTCACATGCTCTACCAACTAAGCCAGTGAGGCACCCCTGCATCTGCTTCTTGAAACTCTTTCTACCTCTACTCTATTTTCTGCAGTTGGTTCCTGGGTTCTAAGTGTTGTGAACAACCGGTTAAATAATGCTAAAGAATATAATGATATTCTCATGCTTACATTTGGTTTTCATAAAATTGGATGATAACGTCTGCCACTTACTGAGTCTTTACTGTAGGCCAGGAGTGAAGCCAAGTGTGTTAGGTCTGTATCTTGGTGCTTCTCAACTTCCTTT